GTTTGGCAAGGGCCACAGGCTCGGGGCAGACGGCAGCGAGCCATGGGAGGGGGAAAGAGGATGTATCCTGGGGTGCTGGTCTGCAAAGCAAACTAAGATCTTTGATTTCCCATTTTATTTCTATTTTTTGTTTTTAATCAGAAGTCTGTTTGGAAGATACATGCTAGAAGGAGCATTATGTGAGGAAATTATGAAACAATTCCAAGGAGGAGCTGTAATTGTGTAGGGGACATCCCTGAGTCCCCCTGCTTCCTCAGGTGCTCTCTGCACTGCCCCACAAAGAGCTGCTGCCCAAGTTTAGAGGTGCAAACATTCACATTAGCTCTGCAGAGGAAGTCCAGGTGAAAATAAGGCTGCAGAAGTAAGCTATAAAACTGCACAAGCAGCCCTCCTGTATTAATTATTTCAGCAAATTAAATACATTTAGCCTACAGTTCTCCCACTAGGGACAGGGGAAAGCAGCTCTTCCTTGCACTGCCAGAGCTTGTGGCTTCCCAGATGCCGAGTCTGCTCTGGCCTAAGCTCAAGTCTGTGAATGGATGTTCAAAATCCTGCAACCTGCTGTGATACAGCAGCCGGGACTTTTCTACAGAGGGAGGACAACCCCCTTGACACTTTTCTGGATGATGCTCCTGAGCCCTAGAGTGAACCAGAAGATGGCTGAAATGCACAGGGCATGGGCACAGGGTGCCGGGGCTCTGTAGCCCCCTTGAAGGTGGAGGGGGCTGAATATACAAGTGATAAAAAGCCTTCGGAGCCTGCTGCACTGGGGTACTGACTGGGAATAAGTTGCCCTGGGGCAAAGCTGTCTCAGAAGAGGTGGGTCTGGCCCATAAAAATGAGGATTATGTTAACAGAAAGGGGGGTAAGTACAGATCAGACAATGCGTCCCAGCACCTACCATACGCTGGGTAACAGACCTTCAGGCAGCAAACCGTGCTGAGCACTGTCAGGCTGGTGAGGCTGCAGAGCCCGAACAAGACCCCGCAGAAAGCGTAGAGGGTGCAAACTGCCTGGTTGAACAGCCACCTGCAAGGGAAATCCTGTGGATAAACCCAGCCCTTCCCCTCTGCCCAGGGTGGCTGGATGGGAATTTTCTCCGTGGTCCCTGCTCTGGAGGAAGGCTGGGTATTTGCCAGCCACTCTCCTGGCAATGAGGCCTCAGCTGCTGGTCCCACACCACGAGCAAAGCTGGCCATGTGTGAGGTGGCTGCAATGGGCTGTACAGATCCCAGCATCTGATTGCCCAAGAAAATATGGGCAGGATCTTGCCCCTAATTTGTTCTCGAAGCACCCCAGTGACAAGCACAGGAGCTGCCCTGACCCACACCGGCACACGCCGCTGCACTGCCTGTGCCACATGGATGGCAGCTCAGAAACCAACCACCACCACCACCACCAAAACCCTCTTGCAGCAGGTCGATGTGATAAACCAGAGGGACAGAGAATAGCAAAGCTGTGGGGATGGGTGTCCATGAGGTCATGCTGTGCCTCAGTACCAGACTGACCCCTTGGGTGCCTCCATACCCCGTCAGGGATCTCCCCACTTCAAGACAAGGTTTGTGAACTGCACCCAGAGCTGTTGGCCAGCACAGAATCACTTCCACAAGGTACCTGTGTGCAAAGAAGGACGAGGTGGCCAAGGGGAAGAGTGTCACTGTCATGCTCAGGTCACTGATGGCCAGGTTGACAATGAAGAACTCAGCAGGCTTCAACATGGACCTCTTCTGATAGGCCACCAGCAGGAGCAGCGAGTTCCCAGAGAGGGACACGAGGCCTGCAGAGAACACAGAGGAACAGTGCTCTATTAACCGAGCTGGGAAAGGTGCCAGGGTCATCCTGAGATGTTTGGAAGCAAACACCAGAGATTTCTGCAGAGAGCGGAGAGGGCTCCAGGCTTCCCTCTCCAGAGCGTGCTGAGCAGGGGAGCCCACAGGACCTGCAGAGCTCTGTGAGCACATCTGGAACTGCTTTACACTGAATTTGATCCCTTCCCCTTCCTGAGATCCTACAGAGACATTTGGTAAGAAGGCAGCAATGGGATGACACTGCAATGGGCTCTGGGTACAGGATCTGCCCAGAGTCACTTCTTCCAGCTGGAAGGAGCAAGGGGGGCTCTTCCTTCCAGCTAGATAAATAACAGGAGCTTTGTGCAATTGCTCTTCTGATGTGAGGCCAAGGAGCTGGGCCCCTTTGCCTTTTTAATTTCTTCATGGCAATGTCACTCCTGTGAGTCCATATTGTCCAATATCACGGTAACAAAATAAACAAGAAGAAAGGCATTATGAAGATCAAGGAAAATCCAGACTAAATAAAAGAAGGCTCTTTGTTTACTATTAATCACAATGGTGATTAAAATGTTATAACAAGGGCTTTCTCTCTTCTTTTATTACATAATTGTACTTTCATTGAAAAACGGTTTCAGTGTCCTCAGAAGGGGAATCTGCTGCTCCTGGGGCAGGCTGGGTAGGACGAGTTTCTCCCTAATGGATTAGGCTGTAAATTAAATGTCACGGTAAGAACAAGCTTCCAAAGCTGCCGAATAGCTAACTAAAGTTCCCATCAGGAACAGGATTCTCACACAAGATGTGGCCAAATCCAGAGATTTGGAGGCTTTGGAGTGGCTGGAGGGGAGAGCACTGAAATATTGGTCCTTCTTCCCAGCTTCACAAGGTGTTTTTCCCACAGAGCTAGTCTCACATCTGTACTAAGCACATTTTATTAGCTTTACTAAGCTGTAGCTGCCTATAGGATTGCTGACAGTCCCAGCAGCATTAGCATCTCTTGGGCTCCCCATCTCCGCAGGCATGAAAAACTCTTCTAGCATTTGGGAAACAGCTTACTCAGGGCTCAGAAAATGCGGAGGTTTTTCTTTGCCCATTGTTCACTTCTGGCCCGCAACAACCAGGGCTAGGTCATCTCAGAGCATGTCCCCGCCTCTGTTTTGCCTGTTGGCTTTTCAGTGCTATTAACTCCAAATAATGGGACATTCACCATCATCATCTGCTGAAAGCAAGCGCCAGCTGAAGGTCCAAATCACCTTCAACAGTCATGAAGCTGGCAATGTTAACAGACAGTCCCTACCCGTCTCACAGCAAGTGGCTGCAATGCAAGTTACAGCACGTTCTTCAAAGGTTGGTCTTCAAATTTCCAAATATTTAAAAACATAACTGGTGCTTGCAGTTCCACAGGGAGAGGAATGCAGTCACCAAGCTCTGGCCAGATCACTCTTTAGAGTAACTTGAGGAAGGCTAGCTTGGGAAGAGACAGTTTAATTATTCTGCTAATGGCTGAGCACTTCTGGAAGTATCAGTGATTGCAAAAGGCCTGAAGGTCTCTGGCAGGCAGGCGCCTGGGCTGCCCACAGCAGGGAGAGAAGAGTAATAGACTGTCTTTTCTTACCAAAGACTAAATAGAGTGTGCCAAAAATCAGGTCTTCTTTCTCCGATAAGGTGGAGATGAACACCGAGGCGTTGGATGCGTTTCCCATCTGCAAAGCAAGACGCAGATACAAGCGAGATTGAATTTTGGCTTATGAATGTGTTCCTGGCTTCTTCGATTCCTGAGGAGGACAGCTCTGCAACACGCTTCTGGCACCCTGCTACCCCCAAGCCAGCAGTGAGCAACCCCCTGGCCCCACCACCATGGGAAGTAGTTTCATTAATGCCGTGGGGAGCACTGACCTAGCCAGCTGGGCAGGGGGCTGATAATGGGATCAGGCTGGTAATCTCACTTGATTACCATTTCTTCCATTACAGATTTTATTGATTAGCATTAGCCTTTTAATCTAAATTTTCTTCACAAGTCTTGGCCATCTGCAGACTGCAGCAGGCGCTGCACGTTTGGACACGAGGACTGGCGGCTCAGAGGTGGAGGTGTTCTGCAACCTTCGCGTTCCTCTGCCTGTCCCTGTGTCATCATCAGCAGATGGACTTGGCCCAAATTCTCTTTGCAATGACGCCAAGAACTGCTCATGTGCCATCCTGGCAGCATATTAAATGCCTCTACTGTGAGACATGTGCTGTGTGCACCGAGGACCTGTGCAGGCAAGGGGACTTGCAACAAGCTGTTCATCAAACCCAGGAGGAGACCTCACAGCTGGGGACAGAAAGGAATTGCCACCCTGATCATCACTGCTCCTGGTTGGGACCTTTCTTCTTCAGCTGTAACTAAACCTGACCCATGCTGCCAGCAGTGCAGGCAGTGAAGAACTTGAGGGTGAACACATGCATTAACAACAACAAAAAAATAGTAGTATAAAGTTATTCCCTTTCTTGGGGAGCCTGATTCAATCATTGAGTTTTATCAACCTAATTAGCTTCCCTGTTATTTTGTGCAGCTGAGCTTGGGAAGTTAATAGTGCTTGGGAAGTTAATAGAGGGTAGTAGAGCAGAACAGCAGACGTGTTTCAGTATATCCACTCCCTTTGCTGATAACAAATAAATGGAAAAATATTGTGTTCAGGTGAAGAAAAAAAAAAAGAGGGGGTGAGAGAAAATAATGGTTTAATTATATGTTTTGATAGCTGTTAGCTTGCTTGCTGGGCTGTTTAATGCACAAAGTATTCCTGCCTCCTTCCCCAAGGTCCTTACCTGCACGCTGAGGGAGAACTGAGATCCACTCCCTTTGCTGATAACAAATAAATGGAAAAATATTGTGTTCAGGTGAAGAAAAAAAAAAAGAGGGGGTGAGAGAAAATAATGGTTTAATTATATGTTTTGATAGCTGTTAGCTTGCTTGCTGGGCTGTTTAATGCACAAAGTATTCCTGCCTCCTTCCCCAAGGTCCTTACCTGCACGCTGAGGGAGAACTGAGAGCAGTGTCTGGCGGGGAGCAGGGGCTTGGGGAAGTGGGGGAAAGGGGGAAGGCAGCTGCACCCTCCCCCAACCTGCTTTTCCTTATACTCTCCCCGCTGGTGGATGTTCTCTCTCAGTTCTGCTTTGGCACTAGGGTAGAATGGACTACCCTAACACATTTGAATGTCCTCATTTGCATGGTGTAGTTTAGTAGCATCAACTTGCTTTTCTTAGCAAACCTAATTCACAGGGTGCTCACTTTACACCCTTCCTACCCTCTCCCTACTCATCATGCCTGGTCGCAGCGCAGAGCACCAAGCGCTGCCAGTGTGGCCTCACAGCAGTAGATGCTACTCATGAGAAGGGTATGAAGTCCCTGTGACCACCAGCTGCTCACTTGGGCTTTCTAGCTGCTCTGGTCAGAGTGGAAACTCCGTAAATGTCTACACAACGTAATTACCAGCGCATACAAGGTTGGAGTCTGAGCAGCAGCGGGATGAGATCCACACTGAGCAGAAAGTTACCCCATCTAATACTAACTTGGGGAGGTGCATGTCATTCCTCGGCCAGCTCTGGGCACCCAGGGAAGCAATTCACTGCCTGATCTTTCTGCACTTGCACCACACTAAAAGCATCCCAGATTAACTCAGTTTGCTCGGCTTGTCACCTGCTTGCAGGCTTTCACTTAAAGGTTTTTGTCAAAGGTGACTGTCTCCTCTCTGTGTTCCCAGTGTGACTGATGGTGCCTGCATCTCCAGAAAGCTCCTCCTGCCCAGTTGAGGCAGTGGGATGTGCTGGTGTCCAGCTGGAGTGGCCTTTCCCATTTGCTCCCTAGGAGCTTGGAGAATCGAATAGGAATCCTGAGTAAAACCCATAAATCCCAGCACAAGGGCAGCACCAGACAGCTTTAAGCTGTCCCTCCTCCCCCAGATCCGTGCTGGGCCCAATGCAGCAGGTTTTACCGCAACAGCAAAACTGTCTTACCTGTTCTGGGAGCTGGGTAGCCCCAGGCCCTGTGACTTTGGTGTGTTCTCTCTGCAAGGACAGCCTGCAGAAACCAGCCCAATCACTGCACTCCTGCGAGGTTACCCTCAGGCTCTGGGCACCAAGTATACACTGCTTGCTAGCAGAGAAACTACAAAATCATTTAAGAGGGGAGTAGGTGGTACTGACCCTGTAACGTGAGCCCCTTGCAAACACTCCAAGTGCTTTCACACCCAGAGTTCAAGCTGAATCTCTCTCTTATTGACTGTACAGTGGAGACTTAGGCTCTGCCTTGAGATTTTCACTGACAATCCTGACTTGCTGAACACAAGTGCTGGAAATGCCCAGAAGGAAAAAGGGAAACATTTCCCAACTTTTCTTCACTTGCCCTGTGCAAATCTTGTCCCTAGACTCAAATCCTCACCATACTACACCGTGACTCATAAAGAACAGCAAAATACATGGGGCTTCTGTTCAGGTGTTGTTTAAAATCTTGTGAGTCGTTTTATCTTAGGAAAAAGCAGCAATGGCAAATCCAGGCTTTAGTGGAAGAGTTTGCGAGCTGCAAGACAGGCAACTAGGGGATCTAAGGCTTTAATTGAAGGGAGCAGGCAGAACTGATGGGATGCTTCAGAAAAGTTCTCTGATGAGGTTTAGCCATCACAAGGAAACAGAACAAGTCGGAGCCCAACTCCTTCCTTTTTCAGGCTGGCCTCTGAAAGGTTTGTGAAGAAATGCGCTTTCCTCCTCACCAGCACATGCACCTCCTCAGCAGGAGCCAGCAGGACAGGGTGAGAACATCACTCTGATGTATATTCATAATTGTCAGGGTGAAAAAGCTGCTTCAGAGCATTTAATTTCACAGATAACAAAAATCCAATCTCAATGTGCTTTCTGAGATGAATGTCCTTAGGAGCCCACCTCTCGCTTCCTTCTGTGCCAAAGCATTTTAATTGATGCTAAGGTTAAATTTATTAGAAAACCACCAAGTTATTAGACCCACAGTGTAACACTGTGGATCTGGAAAGGGAAGGAGGTTTTGCTATATTATCATGATATTCATCAGCTTCTAAGTTTCTCTTTAGAATTCCATGAGAAAGTGACTCTTTTCCCTTAACCACAAACAGATGAAAAATGGGCAGAGCTCCCATAGGCGCATTTTGTGAGTCCCTCAGCCTGGGAGCAAAGCAGAGGAGAGTGAACCCAGCAGGAGAGGAGGACATGGAGGTGCTGGCTCAGGGCAGCCCCCCTTGTTCCACGAGTAGGCAGGATGCCATAGGGCTGGTGGTGAGAGGGGGCTGCTGGGTTCAACTCCTCCACAGAGCACCCTGGATGCTAAAAGCTTCACAAACCAGTAGAAATAATCTCACTTACTCTCCTGCACTTTCTGGAGGGTAAAGAGTGTCTGTGTACAAGGACAGGTGATTTATACCTCCCTATACCAAACCGAGTGACTCCGGCCATCAAAATGACATCTTTCATTAACCTAATGGGAAACAACCTTCATTTAGGGCTGAGTAAATCATTTCTGAAATTCTCATAACGTATAGTTCTCCCCTAGGACATATTTCACTCTTTCTCAAGAGCCCTCAGAAGCAGACAGGCTGAACACAGCACATGCACACAACTTCTCCAGGATGCTTTAGGGAAGCGTATGTGTATTAAGAGCCTGGGAAAAAGGAGGGACTGTGGTCACACAGCTGCACTGGTGACGAGACAGGGCAAGGCCCAGCATAAACAGTCTGGAAGGAATTGTTCCTGCTCCTCAGCATGCATGCACACACGCAGCAAAGGAAGGAGAGAACTGGCAAAGGTTGCAGGACTTTATTTCCTTCAGATCCCTGGCAGGTCTCCATCCTGCAATATATCAGAGGAGCTACAAATGTCCTCTGAGATCGAGCTGGCAAAAAGTAATAATAATCCAAGGGAGAGGAACTTACATTTCTGACATATTACTTGGGATAGGCCTTATTTTTACGGCTGTGCTTGAGCTATTTGTAAAGCACACATCTCTCATTGTAATACAGAAAATGATAAAAATGCGTTTCCTGCACTGATAGATATGCTGATGTCATTGACACATGGGCAATAAATCAGTTTTATAGAAATATGGAAAACTAACATTTTTATGTCTGAAAACAAATCATAAACTAGACCTTGTAAACTTATCATAGCTGTGTGTGGTGTACAAGCAAACAGAGCGAGGATGAGGACAATTGCAAAAATCTGAGACATACCTCTGCTGTTTTCATTGAGGGCTGGTAAAGCCTTTCCCCGTCAGATGAATCAGAAGGTGCCACACTTGTCTGAGGCTCTCTGTGAGGGGGATGCCGGCACTTCTTCACACCTAGCTCCAGGAGGTGCTCATATGGTCTTTACCCTTGTGGAAAGAAGACAGTGAGTAATCTGCTTCCCTGACAATTCACAAAGCTGCTCTGGCTCTGCCTTCCTGCTGGAAACCTGCCTGAAGGCCTCCCTCTCTCTGAGCTGCTCCCTCAGGTGAGTGTGAGACAGAGGGGGAAGCCTGCATGAGCCTCATTCTCTGCTGTCATGTCTAGTGGAGTATCAGCGCGGAAGTATTAGTGCAGGTACCAAGCACATCCACACTTATTTCAGACAGAAACAGCTGCTGGAGTTTTCTTCCAACTCAAAAATGTGACTATACTCAATCAAGACAAACTCTGTAACTCCTCTGGGGGGGACTTCAAAT